TAACACTGCCATATCTAGAAGGCCTAAATGTAATAAACAACCCTAAATGTAATAAAGTCCTAGATGTAATAACATTTTGTCCTAAATGTAATAACAATTTGCCCTAAATGTAATAAACTCTAAAGTTGCCAATTACAGTAATTACTCGAAAAATCGCTGCCCTCAAATAAGCACTGCATTTGGGAGAGAAAAGTTGATAAGCGCCGCAGCGCTAATTCACATAAATTCGTTACTAAGCAGTATTACTGTGGTATTAAGCACTGCCCTCAAATAAGCGCCGCATTTTTGGAAAAAAAGTTAACAAGTGCTGCAGCGCTAATTTGCGTAAATTCGGTCATTTCCGTTTATGCACTATGGCACTTAACATTTACAAATAAAGTAAACTACGGCTTAAAAAGCCACTGCAAAAACTATGAACAATCAATGTAGCTCAACGTTGGATCAAACAAGACTGTGATCAGTCGAAAAAGATAAAAATAGAATTAATGTTAAAAAGACTACTGCAAAGACTGATCAAACAACATGAAAAAGGCTGAGGTTTACAATATTTCAACATGCTAATACCAGTCTTCATCAGGTTTATTAGGAAAAACCACAAATAAACAGAATATATACTGTACTACTGTAGAAGTTACATGGTATGACGTGGTAAGGTATGGCTGCTAAGAAAAATGAACCAAGAAAAAGATAAAGATTACATAATGATTATAGCTCGTCACGTTTGCTCATTCCCAGAGGCTCAATGGTTTTGGCTTTATGAATGAGGTGTGCCTCTTCTGCTTTCCTTATAAGACAATCATGTTTATATCTACATGTAAGTGTTTCAATTGGGATAAGTAATATATGCGAAACAGAGAGGCTATTGCTGATAAAGTGTTCTGAAATTGCGGTTTGGATGTAACTACCGGAGGGGTTGAGTATAGGGCATCTATGTTCATTAAAACACTCCTTTGTAATTTGCAATATATTGGGGAAACCAAACACCACCACAAAGACCATTTTAATGAACATGTGCCCAAAGAAGCCTATGAGCTATGGTGACAAAGGATGAAGCTCTCAGAACATTAGCAGGGAGAGATCAGATGAAAAGTGGCACCTGCTCTCCTATAAGTTGGGGGATTGGCAGGGCTGTCACTAAGATTTCAATTTGCCGGGTAAATACAACAAGTAGGCAGGGAATCAAACAGTTAGGGATTTGTTTTGTTTCTATTTTTTTTCTACTTTCCTATAAAAGTAGCCAGGGGGCACGTTCTTAGTAGCCAGGGAAAATCCTTGGCCCCCACCTCTTAATGACAGGCCTGGATTAGGCATGGGGTTAAATCCAGAAAAACACCATCTTGTTACTGAGACTGTGGATACACTTTTTACAGGAACCAGGGGTCCAGCCCCCTGGCACCATGACAGCACCAGATGACAGTCCATCCGCGGAGTCACGGGCTTGAATCAGAGTTTTCGAGGACCCCAACCTAATACAGTAGAACCCGGTTAATAGGACAACAAGGGAACATGCCATAGTGTCTGTATTATCCGGATCTCCATATTATCTGGGCATCCATATTAAGCACGCTCCCAGGAAATGTCACAGACACATGATTTACTGATATAAAGACAAAGCAAAGAAAGAGGGGTAGGAACAAACACTGCAGAAGAAAGCTAAGGAGGCGGAAGTTGTGACAAAGAAGTCACAAAACTTTATTAAAGGGCCGTACAGTGTAGGGGCCAAACACAGGAAGAGAGATGGACTTATCAAAATCAAACAAGGCATGCTATTGTTTCTTTTTTTAAGTAATAAAACTGTATAAACCCATAGAAATATATCATCATTTAAACAGAGTACAATGTCTACAATTAGTACATGACTGTGACAAAATTTAAATAGACAATGCACAGATAACCAAAGTCCATAAAGTGCGGTTGATGATATATAAGACTACGACTGTGACTTGGGACACAAAAAAGTGTCTGTTGTCTGTGCTAACTGGTGTCCCTACTAAGTGGGTTGATTAGGGAAAATATATGAGCTTTTTGACAAATGAAATTGTCCGTTATATACGAGTGTGCGTATGAAGTAGATGTTTGTAAAGTGGGGTTCCACTTTTATGAGCATGAATGTCTGTAAGTTACCAAGAAAAAACAGGACTGGGATTTGGTTATCCTTAGCATGACAACGGCAGATGAAATACCTCAGGACATAAGGGGCAATGCAAGGGCTTAGTTATACATGTACTTTAATGTGGAAAAGTTGATGCACATTCAAGCAGTGAAGCCCTCATTGCAGAGAAGCAAGCAGCTCTTCTAGAATGACAACCCATTAGTGAGAGACTAAAAGCAGCAAGGTTTGCAATGTCCTTACCAACAAGGCAGGATAACTGGTAAAAACAACTGTAACAAGCAGTATCCAAAGTCAAGTAAAACTTTTTTAAGTGTAATTAAAAAAGTGTAGCCAGAGTTTTAGAGCCTGAAAACAAAAGTTACACCTGTAAATTACACTTGTAAAAGTTCAACTTAATTGACCCCCAACTGTTTAAAAGAAATGGAGATCACTTGGATCAAAGGGAGATGCAAAGTTTTCCAGGCCAACCGAATGTGCAAGCAAAGAGTAGAAAATCAAAGTTAAAAAGGTCAAGAGGTGTGCTAGAAGAGACACAAGAGCTTTAGTGGAGGGGGCCATAGAGATATTTTTACAGTGTGAATTAAACAAGGCATAGTGAGAGTCCAGTCTGTCTCACTGCAGAGGTCCAACAAAAAATGTTTGTCTGGGTGTGTTCTCGAAGAAAATCAGGCCAGAATTGAGAGTGACTTAGCGAGTCTAATGTTATTTTGTTTCTTTGACTGTATTCATAAACTTTATAAACACTAGAATGTAAGAGGTAACAGCTTTGTTTATACATGCCTGCAGGTTTTGTTAAATGTTGAAGCTGAAACAAACCATTCTTTCAAGCTGCCCTATGCAAGTAGTATAGATTATTTTAAATAATCAGCAATGCTTTCCAAAGCACTATCATGGCTTGAGTTTTTGAAAATAAATGGATGTGCCAGTGAACTCTAATGGAAGAAAATCTACATTGAACATTAAGAAATGTATGAGTTGAAGGAGGTGCAATAATCAAAATGCCAAAAAGCATATCTTTCATAGACATGCAAATACTTGAGAAGCAGGCTTCACACTTGTTTTGACACTTGCAAATTTGTGATGTGCTTGCTGTTAATTAGGCTAAAAAATGTACTTCAGCAAAACCACTGTTGTCCTATTTGGCCACTGTAATTTGTCAAATTCTTGAAAACTTCCACTCATGAATCTTAGGCATTATTTTGTGATCGTATGCCGAGTTCTGTAACACATACGATGTTGATAACTACACACATTAAAGAAGGGCTGACCTTCTTATGGAGAAACTTGTCACTAGTGATTTACATGGTAAAAACCCAGAAAATTTGGTTCTTTTTACAGTGGTTTGTTCATTCACAATACCAATAAAACTGTAAATTGTACAGATAGTTGTTAAATGTTTTAATGTCAATCACTACAAAAAGTTCATAAACTCAGAAACTCCATTTAAATACTGCAATGATGAGAAACTCAAGGAAAATTTCCTAAAAGACACTTAAAATTACAAAAAATCCAAAGCCTGTTTTCTTTAGTCTGCGACGTAATGCTACACAAAACTAGTTGGTTTTATGCCGGACATGAGAAGTCAACATGCTTTCAAACAACATTGACGACAAAAGAAACAAATAAATGTGAAAAACTTTTGCTAATAATCCCCAATCCTGAATCACAGATGTTCCACATTATACTACAAAATTCCCAACTTCTCAACCCAGCTCAGTAATGTGAAAATTAATAGACTGCAAGAAGCTCAAACAAGACTTGCTCTTTCACATTTACAGGATGGTGTTATAACAACACTACCAGCAAAACAAAGCACAAGTCAATTGGGAGCTAGTATCGTATCATGGTAAAAGGCACATCAACATACCTAATCTCTCAATTTCATCTGTTAAAAGATCTTCCATGTCTTCTTCTTCTGCAAGATCCAGGGGCAATTCCCCCTCATTATTGACAGCTGCAACATCTGCTCCATTGTCAAGTAAATATCTGAAGAAGAAGAAAAAATTAGCATGTTTAAGATGGTTCTAAAGGGTTTTGTGTCTGGGCATGTGTATTCATAGAGCCCTGATGCAGGGTTCATATTCTTTTGAGCTCTTTATATTCCATAACTTTTTCAACTTTTCCATGGCCCTGTCACTTTCAAAATTTTTCAAAACTTTCCCTGTTTTAGGGTAATTATTGACCTAACTTAGTTCACAGACACCAACTCTGGTGTTCACCAAAATGCCTGCCGTTCATACTGTTTAACTACACTACTTGTATGTGTCACTATCTCACAGCATCTGCCTTGACAACTGCAGTAACTAATCTACTGCAAACATAGCCTCAAGTTTCCATGACCTTCCAGTACTGACAATTAAATTCCATGACCTTCCAGGCCTGGAAATGACCCATTCAAACCCTGTGATGGCCATCAAAAGAGCCCTACAAGCACTTAGGATGTCCAAAGTTACGAGGACTTTACAAATGTACATAATACCAGTTGACTTTCGTAATCAGTTACCCCTATTGGCTTTGTATTCCTTTACATGATGTCACCTGAAAATATCATACTGGAACAAGCTATGAATATTTTACAAGAACTCCTCTATATTTGGTCAGATTGAAAATCTTTCAATGGATTAAATTTCTTAGAAGACATTGACATCAAATTCAACTGTCTCGCTTGTGAATTCATCATCTCTATGGCCAGGATTACTGACTTTTGTTGCAAAACAGCATACCAGAACCTAAGTAAGTTTTTTTGCTTCAGATCGATCGTACGTTGCTTTCAACGTTTTGTACATGGTTCGTCACCCTTTGGAAAAGTAGTTTCCCATGAACCCCCCCTTCTCCTCCGAAATTACTGCCTTTGAACCCCCCCCCCCCTCCCTCGGAATTTCCACTGATCTTCTGTGGCAGGGGTATGGATATTTTCTGGAACCACACATTCCAGTAAAAACCCTCACAAAAGACAGTATCAAGAAAAGAAGACCATACCAGCGAACATGTACAATCATTTCCATATCAAATTGGCCTCCTACTGGACAAGAACAGGGAGTACATGTACATGCATACTGTGTTATTTTTCATCATATTGGATGTGGGATGAGAAAAATACAGAAAAAAAAATGTCAATCCAATATGAAATCAAGCAGTCATCCCACTTTGGAACTCGCCCCCGTTCAAGTTTTCTCACACCCACAAAGTGGATTGACTAGGAAAGGGAGTTGCTTTAATACAGAAAGGTTAGTAGTCATACTTGGTACAATCTCTTACCAAAAGGCTACATTGTATTTTTGAGCAAGAATAACTGGCTTTATCATGCTTTATTAATCTCGCTTGAGTAAGCAGCGAGGCTCATAATCTGCAAGTTGTTTTACTTTCTTCATATTTAGTACACAAAACGACAGCTGCAGTCCCAGGCGTTCCTAGCAGTGACCATAAAAATTGCGGATAAGAATCGTCACAACTTTCATTGTATGCAAATGAGTCTCGTGATGAGCATGCGGTTTATTTTCTGTGACGATTGAAATGATGCACCATGTTCTACTGTTCCCATACATGCGGTAAAGCGCCGCAGGGACTGTGTTCGATACCTGCTGTCTCCCATTCTTTGTTTTATAAAGCATTTTTATGACAAGGAGGAATTTGATACTGATCGTTCTTAGGGATATTTTAATATGCTCCCTTAGTTTAGTTTGCGTTCGTGAGAATTGGCCGGTTCTGGGGCTATTGTGATTTCTGTCCAAGATTAAGCATGCAATTACCATACTACCATAACAAAGATGAAATGTTTTGAATTTACGTAAATTTGTGACATTTTAATTGAATGTTTACATAGTAAAAACGACAGATTCATGTTTGCATTTTCCCACATTGTGACTTTCAACAATTAAAACTACAAACAATTAAAAAATATTCGTTACTAGTAGAACTCAATCAACACATAAAGCAATTATGAATGGACAGAAATAGCAAAGAAATTAATCTGGCCAAACTCAACTTGAACATTTCTGCCTGCAGCAGCCGAACCAACCTTACGTGCTACAGTGCATGTGCAATATAGCAGTCACTACACAATGTGCCTGCCTTGAAGAATGACGATTTTGTTTTGCAAGCACATGGTTTTTTTATGGACATTCGGTCCATTCTTACTTGTCGCGATGTTTCATTATATATGCTTTCCACAGATAATGCAAGGCAAACATATTGGCAATAGAAGGCAAAGGTGTTCAAAAAACAAGGTACACTGAGTGACACAAACTATTAAATAATTTAAATTTTCTCCTTGGAAAATAACTGTCCTCGTAGCAAACAACATTACGCATTTATGCTTCACACCATAGGTACCCATGTATTGCATTGGCCTTTACTTAGTACACACTATTCATTGTCAGTAAGCTCATGTCCTCCCAGAGGACTATTTTTCTCTATTACAATGATGCAATTTCTCTCGATTTTAGTTTATTTATCCACAACTCAATCATCGTCAAGGAAGTGAGAAACTTTTCGCAAGGAAATCCTGTTTTGTGTAGAATAAATCACCTCCTCATTTCTCACCTATCTCCAAGCAAGCGAGACTTTAATGCTTTTAGACCGTTCATGTTATTTAAAAAACAATGAACAACCATTGCTGTGACAATTTTAGTGGCCTCTTGTTGTGTTATTGCCTAACATTGCTTCAAGCTCATTTTTTTTAAAGTCACCTTGGGGCAACTGTTGCCAGACAAAAAATACTGGTCACTAGAAAAAAGGACACTTTGTGTAAAAAACCTTGGCCTTGACGATTGGTTGCTTCATTCTAACTCCTCCTTTAAGACTTTATTATTCATACTAAGACGCAGCCAAATTGCCATTGATAAGAATGCCAATGCCGCCATTTCAAGAAATTTAACTTCATGTTCATCATAATAAAACTGAGTGGTACCCAAAACAAAAACAGATTTGTAGACTCCAGGGGACCTATGAAATTGCTATGGATACAGAAAAACCCCACTTCACAGCCAACTGCTTTACTGTACTGACATCTTGTCAATACAGACAGTTTTCACCCCCTCTGAGGAAAACCCTTTCATAGTCTCTAAATATAACCTGCTTAATATAAGTCTACACTTGTTAATGCAGACAACAGATAGATTTTTCTTGTATGGCTACTTCTTTGTCAACTGCCTGCAGTAACAATCTTTACTTTTTCTGAAGGTAAAACAAACCTTCAGGTGTCAGTACAGTGTGCATCGATGTTAATAGGCTGATATAGCAACAGAACAGGAACGTCAGTTGATGATGGTGCACGCAGATCAAACAACTGGCATGACCAATGGCAGAGCAGCAAATTGGGCACCAGAAGTCGAGTTGAGTCCTTTCAGCGCGCTTTCCCCTCGTCAAATGATGTTCCCATTCTGTTGTTAAACCAGCCTAATAGCACTAACTAGACAAGACATGACAATGTCTAGACATCAATTCCTTCAGTTTTGGCAACAAATGAGTTCTGCAGAGTCTTGATTCAAAGTTGAGTCAAAGTGCAAATGAGAAACCTCTGAGTATTTTTATGGACATAGTCCACAGAATAATATATAGCTTCTTGTGAGTTGAAGAGGTTTGTTTGAGTGCACTGTTCTATTTCTTTCATATTTCTTTGTATTTTGTTCCAATAAAAGGTATAAATTATTTATGACTTAATGAACATGACACCCCCAATAATACTTAATATGAACAACCTTAAAAATTAATACAGACACTGTCCACAGTCATCTCAGCGTCCAGGTTAATAACGTTCATATTCAGTGTTATTGTTCCTCAAAACACTTACAGTGTACATGTAACTACATGGTCAACAGACTTCTGCACATAACATGAACATTCATAATATTCAGCTGTAAGCACTGTATGGAGTTGCTGATGTAAGATAAACTTTTAGAATTTTAAGCAATGACCCTTGCCTTTTGTACCTAAGGATTATCCACTATTATATAGATTACAAGCCACTGGTCATTGCATACAAGGCTGTCTGACTAGCTTGACAACAGACAGTTATCAGATCAACAAAGATCGAAGAAATCCCCTTTGGATGATGCCAGAGTGTGTGATATAGCTTAACCTACAAAACAATGTGATTTTTCATTGAAAGCAAACTTTATAAAAAGAAACAAAAAACTACAAGAATCAGGGCCGTGCTCTAGCAGAGCACGTTGGTCCCTGGCGCCAAACTTTTGCTCTTGGGCAACTAGAAAATCTCAGTTTTTTCGAACAAATAATAATAATAATAATCACCACCTGTAGATTTCACATTTCAAGAGTTTGTAGGAGTCCACTGTTGGTCATATATTCAGTTTAAGTCATGCCAGCTAATGCAACTGTACAGAAAATGAGGAATGACTGTTGCATAAGCTGTAAAAAGCAAAATAAGAAGGAAAACTTGGACAAGACAATAATGATCTTTTCTACAGCAGATAAATGGCTACAACTGAGTTAACAGATTTTTTTTCTCAAATTCAAAAAAATTCATTTTAGCCATCTATGTTGTCATGAATACAAAATTGGTAAACCTGCTTCCAAGTAAGTCTAAACTAAAAAGACATATAATTTTATTTTCTCAAAAAGCAGTTCATATGTTTACAACTGTATGTTTACCCACAAAAATATAAGTATTAGGCAAAGAACAGAGAATAAATCCCCAAGAAGATTGCAATTTGGTCAAATAAGAAGCTCGAAAGGCAGGAAGCCAATGACAAGCAAGTTAACTATGGTATTTCCTAGATCAACTAAAAACACATGGCTGATTAGGTGCATGTATTTAGGTAATCCAGTCTGTTTTTGGACAGCGATAAAAGCCACATTTAGTTCTGTCCATGACAAATATTTGTTTCTACAGCTCTGGTGCAAAATGTAGAGATACAGTAAACACAATGAAACACAGCTTATCAAAATTTATAGGGAAAGACAATATGCTGTCATATACACAATTTCACTTTGGGAACATGCTGTTACAATCACAGTTGGAATTCTGCCGAAAAAATATATCATAACCAAAATTACAATCAAGATTTCCTCTGTAAACTTCTTTGGAAAGATTGGTTAATAATACGACAATAGATTTGCCAAAGGAAACAGCTTAGTATTTGGTGTTTTTTGGCTCAGAAAGTCACTCATGCAAGAAGATTTTGCACACAGATAATCATTGACCATAAATAAAAGTTCAAGATGAACTCGAAGCTCTCGAGCAAAGTAATGGATCTGAGAAAAAGTCAAAGACGATTCAAAAATTGACAACATGAATAACAGTAGTTTCAAGATCGGTATGATTTTGATGACCGTCAAGAAACCGATGATATGTACATCGTTTGGTACTTTCGAAGCAAGTCACGCTCCTAATATCTCGCAACATTCACTCAAAAATTGATACATTACTTGGTTAAAGTGAAACCTTCCCGATACACAACAATGCTTTTGAAGAGTATCAACACCCTGATCTCTTCAAACTACAAGCAAGAAAAAACACGGACGCGAAAAATTATACCAAATTAACTTCAATGAATTTATGTCATATACCACTTCCACACATTTCTTAAGGCATTCAAAACTGATATCGAACTGCGTTTGACAAATCGATTTAACAAAACATTTTCCTTCTTTACAATTACAGAAAAGTGTCCAATAATAATCGAACGTTCAAACTCTTGAATGTACAACGTGATCCGAGATACAGCGCTTCAATGGCATTTTACACAACCTCGGTTATTTGATATAAAAATCTCCGATGGACAAGAGATTGCATTTTGATTAAAGAGTTGCCAACTTAATGGCCTTTTTTCCCTGCTAGAAAAACAAATTAACTACCTCATTTCGAGCAGAAAAAGCACCGAGGAAAAAGAGAAAAAGGTAACCCTATATAACAAACCCCTTAAAATTCACACATTGAAGAAGAAGCCTTTCAACATTGACTCCCGAGTTCCTTGCATGTTTTGAAACACGATCCAAACTGGCTACTATGGATCGAAATTTAGGTGAGTAAGAGTTAAATGTCTCTGAAATGCCGCTTCTAGGGCGACTGTTTTAGCCAGCATAGTTCAAAATCAATGCAAGGCTGATTTGAGGAATGATTACAATAAAATGTGCAAAGCAAACATGAACTTACTGTGCTATTTCGACGCTGCCGCAACTAGCTGCAGCATGTAAAGCCGTCCAACCTTCATTGTCTCGTACGTCCATTCGAGCCCCATGATCAACCAAAAATTTAACAAGATCATAACTTTCGTCGATGCAAGCCTGTCGAACACAAACAATAGTTAAAAGCCTCCATTACTGGCAACAGATGTAAATATAGACGCTAGAAAGCATTAGTTTCTAAATCATCCCAGCCGCTATACTAGCTTCGCTTCCAAACTGTTCTCTTGGTGGTATAAGATTTCGAAAACTACAAGCAATGTTCCTTACGGAAAGGTTTTATTTCCCAATAATATACAGTAATGAAAATCCGAAAAGAAATGCTGAAAGCAAAGTTATAATTTAAGCTCAAAACCCGGCATAGATTTCCTTGTATCCATTGGCCGAGGCCTAAATAGTTCAAGGCGTTAACAAACAGTTGGTGAATTGCCTTGCTAAAGCAAAGCATCTACATCACTATTGATGGTAGCTTACTACCTAGCTCCTGCCCGGTATCGCTTTAATGGAAGAGAGACCTCAAAGTTCAGCTTGACGAGGGCAAGCTCTATAATCGCTCCATGTTTTAAGGAGCGAGTGATTCGTTAATTAGGCTATTGTTTTGGGTTCTGGCTAGGACCCCAGACCTGGTCCACAGAACGCTCTCGCACAAACTGCTCTCGCTTCCAACACAATTTTACTATCTGCAGCAAGAATGCCAGATACCGTACCTGATGTAAGGCGGTAAGTCCATCGACATTTTGGTGATTTATATCAGCGCCTTTGGCCAGAAGTTTCTTCACCTCATCCACGTCACCGCTCGATACCGCTGAAAGGAACACAGTTCCGAGGGAGAATTGAATTTTAGTTTTCTTTCTTGACCTGTCCGCAGACTCTAGTGCTGTCTCGCTCTTAGTCCATCGTTTTAGGGATTCTTGACGCTTCTGTAAAGCGTTGCTTGCTCTGGATGCTTGGCCACCCGTAAAAGGGTCCGCCATCTTCCCATGACGTTACAGAGCGACCAGCCCGTGGACCGAGTATGAGACCACGTGACCAGCTCGTAGGCGCAACGAGAGCCAATGGCGACCCCTAGGAATTGTCAATAACGTTGCCACGCAACCGTGACGTCACTTTAAGAAGGAAAAAGATTTACGAAAGACTTTCCTTTTCCCATAAAAAACGTCATGTAGATCGGCGATTTGTTATCTTTGTAAGACAAATCTCTTTATTATTCATGTAAAATTATTCCCCCATGTTACGTAGAGCGTTATTCATCCAATTAAAATTAAACCTCTACGTCTAGTTAGTTAAACAAATTCCACAAAATAAAAATGCAAAGCAGACCAACGCTCGCGAACCCTGTTTTAGCATTTCACGCGTTCTCTTTTCTTTCTGCCTTAAACTGGTATGTAAAACACGTTGCACCCAGAGAATTTTAACCGGAAAGCTGCATCACATTTCTCACTCCCCCTCGTTAATTTTTCTCCGCACATTTTAGCGGGAATTGTCCAGTATCTAGTCAATCCGCAAGCCCTTCAGGGTCAAGTGTATTGTTCTCCTTATAAGGAAAGTGCTTAGTGTGTGAACAACATAACATAACCTTGCTTAACTTGCTACTTCTGTGAGCTCTCTGAGCTTGGAAGAGTGCTTTCAATGAAAATTAATGAGAAAATTATCCCTCTACTGCGGTTTACATTCTGCAAATGCCACAGCGAATGACTCGCGGTAGACATACTCCTATCAAAGTAGACGTTCTAGCAAATTCACAGCCCAGCTGAATTAGCCATTTCAAGGACAGAACATCTCCTCATCCGGGAACAGTCGTGACCACTACCGCCATACAAGGTCGCGTTCCTGTAAGAGTAAATATTTTGGCGTGAAAGTTGGCAAGTTTGACAGCGCAAATATTCGTGTGTGGGTGACCCGTCTTTCTCGCAAAAAATGCTTGAAATGGTTAGCATAAAAACAGCTTCGTTTGCTGAAGTTATTGGTAGTGAATGAGGCACATTTTTGGAATTATTCAAATGCTTGTCAAGCTTAGGTCAGCGGACTTCTAGCCAAAGCAATCATGACGTCACAAACGAGAGTTTCCCTGGTAGCTCTTTGATTCGTGTTCTTTTTTAAGGCCTTTTGAAAAACAAAAATAGTTCCATGATGGTAAGATCACGGAGGGATTTTTTTTCCTCCTGACTGCAGCATCACACAAGACCCAGATACAAACTGCCTGCAGACCTCTTTTTGTGTAATACATTCTTTATTTCTTCTATTTGTTATTTAACAATTAATGAATGAGGCTGAGTACGTATCTTATGAAGAATTATGGAGATCGAGGAGGGTGTTATCCGTCGAGGCCGTAGGCCGAGGCGGATGACACCCTCCGAGAGAAAACTGCAAGTCTAAGAAACTGCAAGTTCCCAAGCTATCCTAAACAGATTCTTAAATTCAACGGTAATAATAGCACAAATTTGAGCTATGTAATTTTATTGTTCAATAGGTTTATATTTTCTGAAGAAAAAATACATTGAAGCTAAGAGTATTTTAGTAGTATATTCATCTTATTCCTTATTTTAAATAAAAACTGTACACCTTTACGGTAGTTGGAGTGATAAGACACCTATGTCTCCAAAGAGGATTCTGAAAGTTGACTTATTTGCCCAATTCAGTTTTTTTTTTATAGATTTTAGAAAATAAGACCCTGCTTCAAATTTTAGGCTTCACAGGTTCTTGTAGTGGGCTTAACTGGCAAATTTTAGCCTAACAGGTTTGTTTAAAAAAAAAGGTAGTTTCGCTTAATTGTTGAAGAAAATGAGAAGTAAAAACCCGCGACTAAGACTGACCTGGCTTTTTTAAAAGTCAGTCTCAGTCGCGGTTTTTACTGTTCATTTTTCTCATTTTCTTTATCAATTAAGTGAAACTACCGTTTTCCATCTGCTAAGTAAGCATTTTTAGTACTCAGTTGTTGTTCTTGGGAAACTTATTGGGGCTTCGAAGATTAACAAATTTTTATTTTTTGTTGTCTTTAATGCCGAGAAAATGATTACAACATTCAGCAATATTAAACGAGTCGAATGTGCGCATAACAAAACAGTTTACGGGAACAGGAAACTCACTTATGACTAACCAATTCATTCCATCTACGGCAAACAGCCTTATCAGTTTGCCGATTCAGTATCATTAACGATTATTCCAAAGGAGCGTGTTAGAATGGCACTAGCCAACAAAGCGCTTGTAGCGTCGACTTGGCTATAATCATCTTATACAATAAAAACCCGCGACTAAACCTGCTATGATTTTCCCATTAGCCTACACAGGTTGTTACATAAATGGTATAGCACAAATTTAGGCTGTTTAGGTTCTTAAATAGGTTCTTCTTTTCTGAAGGCAAAAAATACATGTCTATAGATAAGCGTATTTAGGGGGTATCCAGCTTATTCCTTACATGTTATCCGCACACCATTACATTACAGTTGGAGGAACAAGTCACATGTCTCCAAAGAGGATCCTGAAAGTTGACTTACCTTGTTTGCCCAAGTGTAAAGACTTTTTAAATTGATTTTAGAAAATAACTACTTGTTTAAAATTTAATACCAACAAATTCTTGTATAGAAGGGGGCTATTAACAGACAAATTTTAACCTAACAGGTCCTTAAAAACCAGATTCTTAGTCGCGCGGGGTTCTTATACTCTATGCAACAATCGCGAATCATGCAGAGAGTAATCGCTTTATTAAAAATAAGCAGGAGGAATTGACAACTTTCATCAAGAACGACAAGAATCGAAGACGATTCAATATATTAGGTCACCTTTGGCAATCAAAACTCTGCAATTGTACTATTCAATGTCCAGTTTTAATGACGCCATTTGTACATCTAGTATTTTGTCGTCACTATCACGACTCAACTTCGATTATGTGCCCCTGAGAAATTTTACCTTTTTTTTTCTTTCTAGCGGAAACACACCTTCGGGGATGAGAGGCTGCTAGGCTGACACCTTATACTAGGATATTACTAGCAAAGAGGGGTTAGAACGATTTTTGAATGACCTAGAAAAATGGTTTCGGTAAGTGTTCGTTATTTGCTTTATGAGCCAATGGATGAAAAGATCAAAACATGGACTCTTCAATCTCCCGCCGAAGAAAACCCTAATATGGAGAAGGCATTGTTTGATAGGCCAATCGCCTTGCAGTATGACGTCAAAGCGAAGTATCGAATTATTTCTAGAAAGTTCTTGGGCATGAAGTTTTTTCACCCGAGCGTCTGCCTAAGCAACCAAAAGCCACGTGCGTTTGTGTCCTTTCGATAAACCAATCAAATTTCCGTTCGTGTTTTGTTTCTGTTTCTTTGTTCGCGCGTTTTTGTTTCAAGGTCATGAAAAAATCGCTCTATTAAGGCTACGTTCACAGGGAACCGGACGAATTTTCACCGGTTGAATTTCGTTCGTTTGAGTGTTCCGTTCACACGGATCAAAATATAGACGCTTAGCTGCTCATATTTCCATGTGAACAGAGCGAAAATATCAAACAGTCCCGTGTGGACGAAGTATCCGGTCAAATTTTTCAGCCGGTTGAAAATGATTCGTCCAGTGCCGTGTAAACGCAGCCGGAAATTAGAGGCTTGGGTCAAATCGCAACACACACACACCAACATATCAAATCCGTAATAACGAGATTCGCGAATCTTTTAGCATGCACATCGTCTCGCTGTAAATTCCTTGAAGGAAAACAGAGAGGAACAACTCATTGCGCCGTGTCCTGCTTCTAGATGTTATAGAGTATATACATCGTCAGACAGACTGAAGTCCTGCACGCTAGGAGAACCAAACTGGCTTAAAAACCGACCAATAATAAATAAACTATATGAATATCTTCCGCCTGTCATAGTCATTGCTGCTTCACTAGCCAGAGCTACAGCTGACACAGCTTTTGCCGCGGGTCCAGCTAAGTGTCTCACCGAGTCCCTCCTCACACTGCAAGAAAATTAGAATTATGGTCAGCAAAACTTAAGCTAAATTGTTCTTGAAACAGGCCCTCATGTCTTTCTTAGAATGTCAAGCAAAAACGACGGGGAACATAACTTTTGTTAAAGAGCCGGGTTCCAAGGGTAATTTATCTCTATGCTCTGGCCGGTCTCCTAACTACCTTTTCAAGGTGCAGCCGTTTAAAACAAAAGGTTACCTCAGGGACCTAGGAAGGGACCGTATATTCCCTGGGCTGTGCCCAAAGACAATGGATTAAAGGTTTTGTTCAGGCACTACCGGGCACAGGATAAACATCTGAAAGTAAGGATCTTAGTGAAATAAAATCCCTCCTGGTGGAGTATGCGCCCCCTTATCGAAAAGCCTGAAAAGGGTGGGGGCAGAAAAGGCTTAAGTTTGATCTCATGATTGATAAAACTGTCGGGAGACAAGTCAGTTTAAAGAACAAAAGAGGCGGCATGATTACAGGAAAACTTATCCTAATCAAGAGAGAATGAGCAAAGCTTAGCCGCTCAATTTCTCTTGCCCTGGTGGTATCCAGCACTCTTGCTCGACTGAAACAGAGCGCGACCAAATCATCGCACCTAGGAAATGGATCGACCGGAGTAGCCAGCCTCGTCCCTGGGGTCTATGAATTTGATAGGAAGCCTCTTATTTATCTCGATACCCGCATCTAGCCCGAGATGACCGGCGTCTTGTGGGGTTGGACCCTGACACGTTTAAATCGCCCCATATAAGGGAATCTAAGACAGTCTTGGATTATGGATTCCACATCATGGATTATGGATTCTTTGTCAGTGGAAATTGGATTCCACATTTCCATCGTTAACGGGATTTCGGATTCCTTGACCTATATTTCGGATACCAAAGCCCAGGATTCCGGTTCTACAAGCAAAAATTATGCGGATTCCGGATTTCACCAAAATTTTCCCGGATTTCGGAATCTCAATCTTTACCAATCTCGCACCCAGATCTCACTCCCGTTTGTTCGTGAGATTCCTTTTGCCTCATCTTCGGAGCGTGATCTGGGTACAAGAGTAACAACAAAAATCACATTTTCCCTCTCACTCGCACCGCGTGAGGCGTGGCTCGCCGTGATCGTCTAGTGGTTAGGACACTGCGTTGTGGCCGCAGTAACCCAGGTTCGAATCCTGGTCTCGGCAGTATAATCTTTTGTTGTTTTTCATTTTCATTTTATTTTGCATCTACTTAATTTTTTCTAAGGAAAGATTTAAGGTAAATGTCATGTTCGTGCTACGAGATCAGATGAATGAGAATATTTCGTCAATAATATTTTCAGCGATCTTGACAAAGACCTTTCAAGTAGATTTATTTATAAGCTGTAAGTTGGCAATACTGGCCATGCCGCGAGAAAAGTATCTCTTTCAAAAGCGTCACTAGTTTGGTGGATCGGAATTTGACAATACTAGGTAGAGGAAAGCGACATGAAAATTAAAACGTCCGCAAGTGCATGGGTCTCAACTGAAAACCATTCAAGGGGATTAGCACCAAAAATTAATTTTTTCGTTTTCTGATACCGCGTGAGGCGTGGCTCGCCGTGATCGTCTAGTGGTTAGGACACTGCGTTGTGGCCGCAGTAACCCAGGTTCGAATCCTGGTCACGGCAGAATAATTTTGGCTGTTTTTTTTTTTTTTTTTTTTTTTGGACATCCACTTATGTTTTCAAAGAAAAAATTGAGGTGAATATCATTTAATTTGCGCTCCTTGAAATCAAACGCATAGAATTTTCTCTGAAACGTTCAACATTTCACAAACTCTAGGGAGTGTGTTCAAGCTTTGCGTAAGGTGATTTCTGGGATCGCTTGGGTGGACATGCGTTATTTATGATTCATCAGTCGTATTCGAGGCAACCACTAACCAATCGTAAGTAACGCTTGTCCACCTAAACAGTCCAGGAAATCGTTGCGCTTTTAGCCATTCCCCTTAGGCCCGGTTCAGACGCCGAACTTTTCATGAGCTGAACCTAATTCGAATTAAGACCGACACAAATTATTTAGACCGGTTGAATTGATTCAGAGGCCGATATTAATTCCAGCCGAACTAAATTCAAAAAGGAGAAAAATGCTCATTTCGGTCAAATTGCGTACAAAATGCGTTATAATAATTTATGCATTAGGTTCGGTACATGAAAAGTTCGGCGTAAGCTGTGCAAAAGTCGATTCAAAGTCGAAATTCCCGGTCCCGCTAGGCGGAAAGAACGGCTAAGCCGTTCCAAATTAAAACAGACGTTCCTAATTGATTCAGTTGCCGAACTTTTCATGTACTTAATTTAATGTCTTAGGTTTGGCTAAGGAAAAGTTCGGCATCTGAACCGGGCCTCATAGTTTCTGGAATGGGAAATTCCAGCGCTCCCGATAAAGCTACTTTATGTGGATCTACATATAGAATGAAGACTGGCCGTCCTTGCCAACTAGCCATGCCGCGAGGAAAGTATCTCTTTAAAGGGCGTCACCAGTTTGGTGGGGAGCTCAAGCAAATTAAAGACGACGACGAAGTCAACAAGAAAGGGAAAAAAGCAATAGATTTAGATTGGCAAAACAACAACTCTGCTCGTGCATCACGCTTTTTTGTACATTTCTTTGCCGTAGCTGCACGACTACGACGTGAAAATGCCTACTTTCACGTTTTGTGGAGGACCGTGAACACAAGAAGAGGAAATTCTTTCTCCTTTCCTGAACTTCGATGCAGTCTTTTAGAATTCAACTCCAGAAAAAAATTCAGTGCCAACGTTTGACGAATTGAACGGAATGGAATAAGCGCGATAAAGTTTGATGCAGCCTGACTTCACATGTTTAGTGACGTTTTCATAGCCGTCGTCGTTGATTAAGGTGGAGGATTAGTGAGGCACTGCGGGGGCATTTCCCCAATTAGTAAGGCACTGTGCCTGAGCTATAAGACATGGTTTTGAAATACTCGTTTGAGCTATTTTTCCTCAAATGTATCTTTGAATTCAGGATAAATACAGCTCCATAAGGTTCAAAACAGTGTGAATGGCAGAGAACGATACTTCAAGGTTATTAATTTTCACAAGAAGTGGATGTAGCGATCACGTGGCCCAGTGGTTAGAAACAGCAGTTTTCTCGCTGGAGGAAGTTGGGATGCGCGTTCAAATCCCCGCGAGGCGTCTTCCCTTTTTTTCTTTCATCGTGTTTTTTACCCTTTAGCTTTTTACTTTTTATTCTCACTGCTGACCCTTTTAGCTTCGCGAGATTTTTGCGAAAACGTGTTTCTAGTTATAATTATTATTATTATTATTATTATTATTATTATTATTATTATTATTATTATTATTATTAGATACGAAAATAAAAACTTCCGCAAGTGCATGGGCCTCTTTTGAAAAACAGTCATAACACCAAAAATCTTACCAGGACATTTATTGGCACATTTCCTCCTCTCTCTTAGCTTTGAAGGGCAGCTGGCCCCGCCAGTCGTTTCACTTTTTATTATTTTCCTTAGTCGATACTGTCTACCTCTGTTACACTTCTTAGAACATGGCGACCAGGGCGACCAACCGGATACAATGCAATCTGAAAAGATAAGATGAAGCCGAATCAATTTACTGTTTACTTGGATTTTTCTTCAAGTGTAACTGTGTTTGGTATCTCGAACAATTCAAACGTTTGCGCTTTGGGGTTAAAAAGAAAGCTATTCGACCCGCACGGTTGTCCTCAAATAATTTCGCAGAGAATGAGCAAATTAAAGAAAGCAGCCTAGTTTTAAGCAAGAACCTCTCTGCATTCAAAAAAGTGGCGCGGAGTACATGTTAGAAATACTACAGAGTGACTTATTTTTTACACCAATAAATGTCTTTTTAGAGGTTATTTAAAGCGATATTTGAGAGATTTAGAATCACGTGGCACTAAATCTCTCTAGCTATTCATCGATAAATAAGGACCATGCTATTAAAACCAAATAGTCAAGAGTCACATTACTGTCTTCCATTGTGCGGGCCAATTTCAAAACCTAGTCTATGCTCAAGAGAATTCCAATTAATGAATTCTCAGGGGGCGAACACAAAGAAACGTTTGCGTTTTAAACTGAAAGCATTACCACCAGTTTTGGTTTGAGAAGGGGTAAACGTACAATGTAATTCACGTAAATGGCGAACACCCATAAGTTGTTAACTTGTTCAGTGTTTAAACTTAAAAATAACGTCCTTACCGTTGTTTTTCTCTAAAGGGCATTTCTCAAGTTTGCACCTTCTGAATTTTATGAGCTCGAAGTCTCTACAAGATTTCCCTCCTGGTTCTTCTTTTTGAAGTATCGTCCGCGTCCGAAATTTGCCACCTCGGGTACAAGTGCCCCGACAATTAGTCCAGGACGACCATGAAGACAGTCTGCAGTTTCGTTTCGGAGGGCGAAAATCTGGCGGGAGAAATATCGACAACAAAACACAATTCTAAGAGTATAAACATAAGAGACAAAAACAGGGTTTCTTAATCAAATCGATATCTTGTCACTCGTGTTTGCTCTTTTTACTAAAGGGGCTATAAGATGATAAAATTAAGATGATAAGGTCTACAAAGACTTCTCACTGGTCTCCAGTCTATTTTCACTCGTCTCAAGTCTACTTTCGAGTTTCAAAAACCCTCACTTAATTTCAAAGCAAGGCCAAGTGCAAAACATTTCTTGTGAACATGTGATTTGAATAGCAGTTGAAAATCATTTATTCCTGTCAGTGGCTTTGCACTAAGCCTCGTTTTAAACAGCGGTTTAAGGCAACTCGGAGATAGCCTTTCAAATTTTCCTTTTATCTCACACCGCTTGAGGCGTGGCTCGCCGTGATCGTCTAGTGGTTAGGACACTGTGTTGTGGCCGCAGTAACCCAGGTTCGAATCCTGGTCTCGGCAGTATTATTTTGTTTTTGTTTTAATTTTTTTAAAATTTCTATTTCCATTCAATTATGTTTAGAAAAATGTCATTTTGCGCTACAGAAATATAGGTTAAGAGACCAAGGGCCGCAAAAGCGCCTGCTTTCTTCTTCGAAAAAGTTAACAACAGTGCTGCTGTTCTTATTATGACCAAAGATGTCGCAGCCACTCGCTAGTAATGCACTCGTCGTCAATAAAACCCTTTGGGGCAGGGCAGGCCAAAGGTCGAACAGGAACGGTGAAGCTGCAACCTCGAGGTTTCTTGTACAAAAACGGTGCCACAACGGCACCAGCAAATTAAGTGAACATAACAAAACGCGGAGACTGGGAGTATTATCATTATCATTTTGCCTTTGAAAGAGAGGTTGGTAAAGGAAGAATTTTTTTATATAAAATATAAAAGCATGAAACTGAAGGCAAACGTTCGTTTGAGGTGCTTATGTTCATCTTGTGTTCATTTATTGATACACTCATTCCAAAAAATAATTTCTGCATGAAATTTGATTAGGTTTTAGTCCATTAGAACTTGAGGCTGCTTAGCGGCCTAGCCGCATTGTATACTTTTCACCTCCGCATTCACCATAAAACCTGATCAAAACATGGCAATAGGTCATTTTCGAGTTACTCTAAGCCCCTGTTTCAAAGCGAGGCTAAGTGCGAAGCCATTTATATGAAAATGAGTTCTTATTCTCATGCAAATAAAATTCATTTTTTCAAGAAAGGTTTTGCACTGAGCCTCGTTTGAAAGTGAGAGTTTTTGGCACCGAGAAATTGTCAATTCATGAGCAACTTACTGGAACAGTTGCGGATAAAGCAAGACCTGGATTCTGTCAATGTTGGACACGGTAAGCCGTCATTCATTGGCTGCTTGAGTATTGCTCGGCCCCTAAGCTGAATGCCTCGACCGCATGTGACTGAGCACGCAGTCCATTTCGTCCATCGAGATACTTTACAATGTACTCGTTGCGCTAAAACGTAAAAGAAAAATTAGGAGTCACCGACATGTCAACCGATACTCGGCTGAGGGGTGCCCAAATTACGCAGCTCAGACGTTCTATTTATTAGGGACCTTAAGATTCAAGAACTAGGAATTAAATTAACTGCAAAAACCGTGAACGAAGATCCTGCTGGTTATAAACTTTGGATGTCTAGAAAAGAGATCTAATCAGCCAAAATGTTAAGAATTTTTAAAAAAGTCCAACGACTACTGCAAAGCTGATCAGAAAAACTTATATTGTTTTTTTATGACAATATTTCGGCTGGCCAGACCAGTCTTCTTCATATTAAAAAACAATACACGTTATTATGAAAAAAAAAACAAAACAATACACGTTGTCCTGATCAGCTGAATTTGTAGAAGTCTTTGGAATTTTTTTATAAATTTTCAAGAACTAGGACGACTAAGAAGACAAAATTTGACTGAAAGGTTTTGTCGTGTTGCAAAAATATACACACCGAAAAGCTCATTGTACTTTTTTTTCACCATAAAAGTTAGCACCGTTATCTTTATAGAAGGAGGTTAAGCCCTCTCCTGACTGCAAAATGATGAAACTTCTAACATTTGATAACTTGTTTCCGCCACTACGACATTCTGGCTAAAACTCGTATTAGATTGACGGCGGCTATCACGTTTTCCCGCCAAAATGACGCTGGTTCATGCGTGCGCACTAGAAAATCTCGTACTCGTAGTTCGTCCAATTAGTTCGTCCTCATCTTAGAATCTAAAGGTCTCTATTTTCTCGTTAGAGATCGTTGAGTGCGCGCAGACAGACGTGCCTGCATGAAAATTAAAACTGCGAGCGGTTTCTTGACTGCTAGCCCAAGGAGGTGGGTTGATGGTGGTTTCTTTTTCCTTTTTTTTTCGCGCGCCTCGAGTTTCTTCCAGCAACGCTCGCAAAGTTCTTAAAAAACGTAAAAGAATAGAAAAGAAAAGAACGATTGTGGACAGGCGGTTTATCCAGGGCTATTTATTGTTTGGCATAGCTGTGTGCGGTCAAGCTTCCAAAATTTACAAGAACAAAATTCAAATTCTTCCAAACCATCCCTCCACTTAATGCTGTTCCGTGACCACAGATCTCAAACAGTTCCTAACTTCGATTCTACTAGTATTCTTGGTTTGGATCTTCTCTAAATCGGTTGTTATTTTGATTATGATCACTTCCGTCCTAATAAATCTAATACATTCACACTCCTCAAGATTGTTTTCATTCATATACAGTTATACAGGTGATTAATTCATGAAGATTGAAGAAAATTACAAAATCGGTTTCCCCGATAGGTTATTCCAGGGACTTAATGAAGTGCACATTTTTGTAAGAACTGAATATAAAGAATTTATCAAATAAACTGAACTGAACTATGGAAACTATGACATGCTTGACATTTTTCGGCAAGGAAAGCGCGTCGAATACTTGGGTTACATCAACTTTGGTCTGCCTGTTTGTGTAGATATACAAGCAAACCCCGATTTACCGACACCCGCTTTATACGGACACCCTATTATTGCAGACAGTTTGCTTATCCCTGGGGAAAAAAAGCTCTTACACTTTCTCTAAATTCAACCCCCTTAATACGGACACTTTATATGCCGCCCCAACCCCCAACGGATTTTTACGCTGAAAAGGTCACCTAGAATTTTCGGGAGCCTTTTTTCTGGCTGAAAATTTCGAAAAGGCAAGTTTTGATCCCTATAATTTTCGGATCACTAGACTTTCAGCTAGGAAATCCGAACAGATGAAACATTTTTAGGGGATAAAAATACGCCTATATCTACCGTTTAAATACTAAAATACTTTCAACAATGCTATGTTTTAGTGGTTTTGAACTATATTCTCTTTGGGTGCCCCTGTTTAGTTATATTCTGGGGATAAACGGATGAGGATAACCACAAGATCTCTCAAAGGGACGCCAACATGTATTATACCAAATTTACTCACGTTTTTCAGGAAAGGGCAGAGGTTGCGGCTCACCACATGATCCCGAAGTATGCATAAGCTGTAGTTTGATCTGACCAAAGGGACGAGTAATGTCGCCGTCCTTATTGTTAGGGAATGTTCCTTGAGAATGCTTATGCGTGTATCTGGTGATCTTCTGTATCGGTTGCTGAGGATTTGTTTTCCTATTGGCGGAGATGAATGTTATGCCGTCATCGGTACCTAAAGTGATTGATTGACACATTAGACGTCCGATGCCGGAGAAAATATGTACTTATATCGTCGGTCTCTTTCTTGGAATCCGTTGTAGAAAGCTACGATTTCTGGACCTAGTGTGCTATCGCCAGGGGCTGGATAGGAATTTAAGGGTTATAAGGCATAGTGTAGTACGAGATAATAAACATCCATGATGCCCCGTTCATACTGAAGGGATTTGTTTTATGTCAGGGGCGTAGCCAGGATTTTTCAAAGGGGGGGGTCACAGAGGCTACTCACCAGATTGTCAGTCGTATTATCGCGGCATGAAGGCCCATATTAACTAAAGACAAGAGCCGTTGACGAAAATACTTTACAAAAAAACAAATTTAAAAAAAGCATGTTTTACCTGCATCCCATGGGTAGAGATCCTGAACGATTTGTTTTTTCCAAGTGCAATTTCCGTCGCACAGATTAATTCGATCAACGCCCACACTCCAATCGGGGCTTGGTGTTATCTTTGCCAGCACTGACACAAGGTTGCGTCTGTTGTCTGCTTTGAAGGTAGAGGACACCTGACCAAGACTTTTGTACAGCATTCGAGACTGGATGATACTGAAATAAGTGCAAACACCTTAGCCCATAAACTTAAGGTCAGCGCTCTAAAAAGACTTTTACAGAAATACGACCCAGTGTTCTTAACACCAAAAGGAGAAGGTAGAGGCGTTTCTGCAAGTAGCATGGTATTTTTTCTTTAAGTTTGATTGCAAGTCTTTTTATGCAGCCGACGTTTGCTTCTGGTCCCAATTAGTTCTTTGGACGGACTAAGTCTAATGTAATTGGTCAAATGTATTACTTTGGATTTGGTGCCTAGAAGACTTCATCTAAAATTTGGATTCAGGAGGTCCCGAGTTTGAGTACCGCGCTAAAGTCTTCCACCATACATGAAAATGGCCAATTTTAAAGTGCTTGCGACCAGTTGGGTTTTTAAACCATGATCCAATGTTCAAATTGGTTATTTGTTTTACTGATTATTTCAGAGGAGTACCCTTAAAGTGGCTAGAGTACAGTAACCAGTACTGTAAGTAAAGCAAGTGCGCATCCACTGTGAAAAAACATTAAGCATTTTTGCTTTCGTAAGAACGCATCCTAATCTGGTGTTCCTGTGGCACTAAGGCAGAAAGTTCCGAACTACATCACGGGCGACTGCAAATTAGCTGCCCTATTAATTTTATCAGGGGCACCTCGGCCGGGAAACTGGACTCGTTTCGACTCGATTTAGTTTCCGTTATTTTTCCGTAAGTGACGAACGCGGATCCGTAATCAATGATTACCTCTAGTGTAAAATCAAGACTCAGAGCAAAATTTGAGGAAAAAAACGCAACTTGACACTTTCCATCGGTGATAAAGTTCGAGTGATTTGGACGAAATATTAGTTTTCGCCTCAAATTTTGCTCCGAGTCTTGAAATTCTTTAATAATCGTCTTCGCCAGCAGAGGTGGTGAAAAACGTTTTTGGTAATATATACCTGTAAACATTTCCCCCCTGACTTTTCATCTCCTTTATTAGTTTATAAACAGCTCCCCACTCGCTGACCATGGTGACTCCGGCGGAAGCCATCCCCCCATACTCCCAAATGATGTAATCTTTGCTGTGTGAAGCACCGATCAATGGAGACCAGCGTGCCATGATCCCTGGAAAATGCCGAGGATGGGTGGATTCTCTCCATTTACCTTTAAATAAAATATAATTTGTTATTATTGTGTGAGCTTTTAAGAATTCTGAGTTATCTGAGTTTATGAAAAGTAGTTTATGTACTCTGTCGCGGAAAATTTGGTGGAGTTGTGCTACCGCTCATTAGCTTGGAGATAAAAAATGAATGGTCAGTGTAGGCTTGAAATTGTAATCACTGAATAGCTGTGGCCTATCTCTACAGGCCCAGGTTCCTGAAAAGCCGATTAAGCTATCCTCCGATTAGCGTCAAATCCACGGTTAAATTTTTTATTCCTCGGATAAGTAATCGAGGGTTAAAAAGGAGTACCTGAAACCGAAAAAAACCCACGATTAACAAATCCGAGATTAGTGTTAAAATAGACCTGTTTAACTAGTTTTTCGGGTGATTACTTTCAAAAAATATGGGGCGAAAAATGTTTAAGCACGGGTTAAGTAAAGGGAAATGGCGGGAAATGAAGTGGCCGAGGTTAAACCAAAGGGGAAGAACAGGAAACCGAAATTCTTCATCTACCTAAAAAGCGTTTTTATAACATAGTCCTTATATTCAGTCCACAGTCCGCAGTCCATGTTTTATACTGACCAAATTTATTACATGAAGTAGTAACCACGTTGGCAACAGCTTATGTTTTCTCCTCGTCTGTCTCTCGAGGTCGTTCTTGAGGATTTCTACCAAACATTTTATTGACTCTTGGCCAAACCTGTATCTACTGCGAAGCTTTTCGTCAGTGAATTGGTCGAGATCAATTTCTTGCTGTCGGAACTTTTTTCGCGTATTTGTGCCAACGGAAAGTCCGCCATTTTGTTTGCTTTTACAAACTTTTTCCCCCGATTAGTGAGTTAATCGACCTACTAGGTGGGTTAAATTTAACACGTAGTTTTTTGCCAGATTAGTCTCAATCGTGCTTTCAGGAACAGAATCTAATCGTGGGAAAAGATTTATTCCACGAATAGCGAGATTTAATTTGTTCAATAATGGTGTTGGATACATTCAAACTGGTCATACTCTAAAGTACCTGTTGTTACCGATTGGTGCAAAACAATCTCGTTCCTTGGGTCCTCTCCTCCTAGTGCCCCGGAGCGTGATAGGAGTAAAAGAGGGTCCTGGGAACAGGTTGGGGGCAAAACCGTTCAAGAAAGTGAAACACTAAAATAACCGATCAATTTAGATTTCTGGGAAACTGCCCACCTACCCCTCCCCTGAGCCAACATTAACACTTACTTCTCACTTAGGACAAAATGACGGCTTAGGGGAGGGGTAGGTGGGCAGTTTCCCAGAAACCTGATCCATAATAACTTTACCAGTGAAAGTGATGTCATACGTTGCTCCACCACAAGCACAGCAAGTATACTTGTCATCCTCCTGGTGGTCTGCTACTTTCTGTTTCTTTACTTCATCTAGAAAGAAACACAATGACAAATTCTTAAAAATTCCAAATTTAGTTTACGGCTCTGTAGCGCCATCTCATGACGTTCTACATCTGCGCTGAATTGAAGGACACAAAATTGACGGGAAAAGTCCAAATTTTGCGATCGATTTACAAAGAGCAGCTGTTCCGAATAAAAGACAAGTACCGAAAAAGGATTTAATTATGGTATTAAGTTTTGAGATCAGAAAAGTATAGTGCGTTGAAAAGAGCATGTTTCTTGGCGAATGTAATGTAATGTTCAGAACCTATTTACTGCATGTAAACTTGTACTTCTCATCATCATGCATTTATTTAGAGCGTCCCCTGCAAGCCCTTTCCCTTATTTGAGACTCGGGATTCGGGATTATAAAGCAAAATCGGGGCAAGATTCGGGATTGAAAGTATGCCCGTGAGGTTGGATGCCAAAATAACTATCGGGATTACGGGATTGAAGAACCCTATTGGGGAGCGAACATCAAGCTCGTTGGTTGTTTGTTTTGCCTGCCCGATAATAATTTATTGATATTGCGGACTAGTGCTATAACCAATTGACGTAATATGAAACATTGAAAAGACACTGGAAAATGCCCACACGAAAACACAATAGCTAGCTTAAAAAAGTTTCCGCAACACTAACAAATACCCAAATTAGGTACAATATTTTTATACTTAGATTATGTTGGCTTATGCATGAGTAGAGTTGATTATGTGACGGGATACCAATGAAACAAAAATGAGCTTTGAAAGTGAAAGTAAAGACAATTGCTTTAACATCACTTTCTCCAAAGAAAAACCCGCATTATGTTACCTTCTTTTCCATTTTTTCCCCTTCTTTTTCGAATATATGAAACTACAAATAACCTGCTTTTTTAAAGTAAACAGGAAAGCTATTAATTAATCCAATTTACCTATACTGATGTTCTGACCTAAAATTCTTTTCGACTTTATTTTCTTTGTTCATTCTGTTGCAAATGAAACCGTGAATCTGACACTCAAGCTTGACTTCGTTAACTTCAAATGAAGCTGAAAATGCGAAGCTTGCGAGCAAGAACTTTATTGCTTACACTTTAAAAAGTGCCCGCGGAATAATTTTTCGTGCATTAGAGACGGCGATTTAACTGCGTATAACAAGAATTATTATTTAACTTGAGCTAGCTTTTGAGGTACACAGGGATATTTTTATAACGAAAGCTTGTCGTTACTTTCTTATAGCACTCTTACCAAGTAGATAAGCGATATTTTCTTCTTAGTCTCTCAGTCTCTACCACAAGAAATATTTATTCCAGCGTGTTATCTCCCAAGCAGAAAAATACGAAGAGTCTGCGATGTCTCCCAGGTAAAGGATCTCTTGTTTTTTTCCTTCTTTTCTTTTTTCTTTTTTTTTTCAGTCTATTCGAGTTGATGATGGTTGTTGACAAAAACACTAAATAGCGATATATTTAGCATGATAATATTAGACCTTATCCAGACTTAAGACAACAGACCTGATATTTGCTATTCCAACGCCTCATGACACGAAAAGATATATACAAAACAGGGAGTGGCCAGGACGACATGCATGCGTTATTAACCGCACAAGAGGTCAGGGCGTATGGATATTCGGTCATCATTGTCCTAAATGAATATAAATCCGCATTTTACCAATGACAATGAAAATACAAAAACAGGAACCAGGCCAATACTTGAAGCTTTCAAAGATATAAAAACGTTTGTAACTAATGTGTAATGCGTAGGTGGATATGGAAAGCAGCCATTCATTATAGCAAGAAGAAAATCAACGAAATATTTTCTTCAGAAATTATAGGGATCACAAAAAGAAGATATGTACATTAAAATATACCCATGAACTTATCTATACGTTCTAAACATAATACATTACGAGATGTCCTTTTTTGTAGGTTGTAAATATACGTTTTGACAAGAGTAACGTTAGAATAACAAAGGCCACGAGCTCGGAATGTCTGCAATCGAAACCGCTCTTTGCGGTGGTCTATACACTCCTAATCAACATCGTTGCCGGCATGAAGGGGGACAACGTGGCTTACAGGAAGGTTCGTTAGAGCGCTAGACTGGCAACCCCAAGGCCTTAAGTTCAAGTGTAGGACTTAGCGCTATGGCTGGATTTGTTCACGGTTGTCCCCAGTTTTAATTAACTCATAGTCCATGCTCGTAAGTAGCTGACTGGTTTGCCTCCAGGCAACTCGGATTCTTACTTGTTTATTTCAATTTTTCTGTCCTTAGTTTGTGGGCCACAAGGTAAATTACTTGGTCAATGGCGATTGTTTTATCCCTATAAAACGTCAACAATCAAAATTCAAAGAGTCTGAAATTAGCTGTCTCTTAGACACTTTTGAAGAGGTGTCTCAAGGCTACGGTCTGCGTTATAGAAGTCTTGGAAAGGACTGAAGAAAGTTAGGGACCAACGCTAGGTGTACGGTTTCGAGGATTTGTTCTTACCACCAAATTTAACACTTACTTGAACGAACAAACTTGCTTAATAAAGTATTTAAAGTATTGACTCCACCGCGGAGTGAAAAATTTTCAATACTGTAACATTAGGCGGGCAGTTCCGAACGGAAAAGTCAGCTTTTTCTTATCAACCCAGATAACAAATCAAAACTCTAGAACGACTCCACCCTGTTGCCCAGTGCGTCTCTAATCTTTAGGTCGACTCTTTCTTAACGGATAACTCTCTGATACAGACACCTTGAGTTGGTCCCTATCTTTCTTCAATCCTTTCCTCAGTCCATGTGAGCTCATATATAGAGGTCAAACCATCCTTGAATGAACTCTTGCCGGGGAGTGCACATTTCGTTTTTCCTGTTTGTAGCCAAAGAAATTTACAGCTGATAAAAAAAGATGAGATCTACAGGCAGACCTGGCTGGTGTTTTGAAAATTTCTCAGTTACTTTCCGACTTGTTCAAAAGTTAAACTTAACATTGCATGTGCTGAATCTATGCTAAAGCGAATGAGTGAGAACGATAGATCGATTTTGCTTGAAAGCATAACATTCCGCACACATGACCTTATTTTATATTTTTAATGATGATCTGTATAGATATAGTCTTTAGTGATAAACAAAGGTTCTCGACGCCTCGGCCATCAGTATATATCTATCATCTAATATTCATTAAGGGTACGAGGGGAATAAAAATTGATACCACCTTATGTGATTATCTAATATATGTGTGATTACAAGGAAATCAATTGATGGGTTCTTTTAGTTCAGTTTATCGAGACTGTCTATAACAAAAGACATCGATGTCAGGGTTTTTGTTTGCTCTGCGATATCGGCCATCATCCACATAGTGAACTATAAATATAAATTAAATACACTTAATCTGAGTAAATAATCAAAAAAAAAAATCGAACCTGGATCGACTACATGTACTATTTTCCGCTGAGCAGAAGCCGCAAACAGCGGATTAAACAAACAAACAAAACAAATGTAATACTAAAACTGGCCCTCTTTTAAAGATGAATCAGGCATAGCTTTTTCAACAATTGTTCCAAAAAGATATTAAATCTAAGTGGGCTAGAAAAGACAACTGTAATCGAACCAAAGAAAAACTTTGCCGAGAATTCTTTGACGTATTGGTCCGAAACAGTTCCTTACTTACGATAATGCTTGGTTAGTTACTTGCTCGTAGAAAGGTCCTTTGTTTCTGACAAACAGGTTTTGCTTTAATCAGATTTGCCTGAAACGTCGCCGATACTCCTTTTTGGAGAGAAGAGGAAGTAGTGTTGCTAGGATATGTTCTACTCCCTTTGAACAACGAACGTTATGACAATCTCGCCTACTGTGAGAAATCTGCCATTAAAAATGTGTTAATCAGTTATTGTTTTCTTCAAACAAAACCAAGAAAAACTCTTAACGCTAAGCGCATTTTTTTCGGCTAAAACCAAGCAGGTTCCAATTTGTAACGAAAAGAAGCGGTTAAGAAAACAAACAAATCCCTTTCTAAGGCTTAGTTTGGTCGGAAGTCTCTGCGTGGACGAAAAAATAGCGTGTTCAAAACTTGGAGACAACTAGTACTTTTTTTGCTATATGCAGGAAAGACAAGAATCTGCTGAGAAAACATATGAACCAGTTCCTTTTATGTTATAAACGTTTCCTCTGAAAAGGAAAAAATAGTTTTATGACATCATCTTAGATATTACTGTTTAAATGTAAGATCATCTTGTATAAGGATATCAACCCGAAATGTTCGCAATTCCTTTGTCTGCGGTAGGTGGAGCAGCACTCTCAAAGTTATCCGAAAGGCGGAATATTGGACTAGAAACTTTAGACCTTTTCAAAGCTCGCCCGCCGTTGTGAAAAAAGCCGACCTTGTATCGAATTGCGTACTCTTGCATAGCGAGGGAAGTAAAATGTGTACACATATGTTGTTCTAAAGTCTTCGTAACATTTTTAAGTTAACGGCTATCAGAAAGACCTACCTGTTTCTAGTCAGTAATACGAGAACTGCGAAAATGAAGACATCCAATATGTGCTGCCCGAAAACAGCAAAAGAAACAGCCAACATTTCCTTCGATCCTGCGATAAGGCTAGCGCGTGTTTAATCTGGGATAATCAAACTATTTTTTCAAGTGCTAAACGGTGAGACTTAAAAAGCAATTCAAAGCGAATTTTTCGACAATTGTCAACCTTGCATTAAAATCTAAAGTTGGTACTTCATTGTGCACGTTTCTCTCGCTTGTTGCCTTTACGAGCTCACCACTACAGTCGAGCCGCAAGGCGTTATGTTCATGGGTTAAAACTTACGAGGTCACGTTATTTCTCGATTTCTCGACTAACAAATACCAGGTAGCTCCAAGCACGCGAGCTCTCTCTGCGTCATGTTGTAAAATATGACGGTTGAATATGCCCCAAGGCATACCCAGTGGAACCAAACACACCAAACGTGGATGAGATTAAATCACGGCGGAGAATCATAAGGTTGGAATTTTTCCGATTAAAAAAATTATAACATCAAAAGTCCTGAATATTAAGTGCCACCTTATATTTCCAAAACCTTCCTTGCGTAAATAATACATTATTGGGCCAGTTGTGTAAACCGCCCAACGACAGTCAGTTGGTCCGATCCGCCATCGTAGCGGTTTGATGTAGAATTGTGCTGATTGAAATGGTGTGTGTTTGATCCCAGTAAGACCACAATTTCCTCGCCAGGTAGCCCAAAGAATATTTTAAGCACTTATCAAAGAGTTTGTAAACGATCGATCATTTAAAGCTCATCATAGATAACCATGGCTAACCGCACGCTTGCTTATAAACTGGTAAGAGGAGGCGAGCTTAATACATCACAGCAAAAACAACAACTGTTGACAGATGACATCATGGCTATTCTCACTTCTCTAGCACAATATAAAAAATTTTCCAGCAGAATATTTTTAGCTCAAGGCCTTTCCTCTTCGACGACTGGCTTTTTCTAAACAATCAGCACTGACTGAATTGAGAAAAGACATTTTTTTCTTTAAGATATCTTAGAGTGGGATCACTTGTGACCCGTGAACTCGACGCTTCTCTACACCGCAATATACGGAACCAATTCAAAGATGCCATCTCAGGACTTTTAGCATTTTCACTTATTTCTGTGCTGCGACATTTTGCTTAAATATCGTAACTGTTTATAGCTGGAACTTTTTCCTTTGCTGTCACTGTTTAGGGTCTATTAATAATTTCAGTATCTTCAGAAGTTTACAGAATGAAGTGGCATGATTGAATAGATATGAGATTACTTGGTCATGTCGCTACATTTTAATTGCAATTTTTGACTCCTTGGATTTTATACATTAATCTTAGATCATATCGGGCTTGTATTGTTTGTCCCACGAATGCTTTTACCAAAGCTCTTGCTTGTGGACATCAAAGATTTTATAGTACATACTTTTTTACGAATCACATCCAATCTTGAGAGTCATCTGATCAACACGTTGTTCGCAGACCTATGTAAGCGCAGTGCATATTTCCTTAGGAATAACAATACGTTATAAAACTTACCAAGGCTTTTTCCTTGCTGCTGCAAAGAAACTGAGGAACACTTAGCATTTCCACACTTGGTCTCGGCTACGACAAGAAGACCTACGTAAATCTCAATGTACAGCACAAATATTGCTATCGGCTTCATAGCCTCAGTACAGAATAAATCCCAAGGGAGTCTGAGTACTGATATTATGACGGACCGAAATAGAAGTGCAGTTTGCCGTGGTATTGCAGTTGTACGACTCAGAGCCAGTCAACTTTACAAGCAATGACCTGATGTATGGCTCTCCCGGTCGAACGTAACTGTTTTTATAACACAGTGACGGAAATCTGAGTAATTACATAGATGCATACCGGAAGAGGCTATTTATACCCTATACACACTTTAACTTAAAGAATCGATTTTAGACGCATTCCTCTAGCTCTTTGCCGCGTCATTTTGCGAGCTCGTATTGAAAGACCGGCAAACTTAAAAAAAAACACTTTCACCAAGCAATAAATTAGCAAAAAACCCTTAATGCAATTTCAACACATTGAACAGTGAACCGGATGTGACTTAGTGTTATTAGGTTTTACCAAGGGCAATAGTTTTGGTTTTCTTAAAATCTCAGCCAACAATATACAAGCATTTGCGTAAATATTTTTACTAGGAAAAAAATACGCACGTTTTCAAGCTGAGTGAACGTAATCTAACAAAAATATCTGGAATTTTTGCACTGCAAAATTTCGTACAAGTTTTTGATCGATGGCATTCAGGAAATCTCATACGAGAAATTTTTGTTGTTTTCTTTTTGATAATTTTTTAAAATATGAAGTGTGTCAAGAAGGTAAAGATAAGCAAGGGTGAATAATAAAATATTTTTGTTCGATAAGCTAGCTCGTGTCGGCAGTGCTAAAGATCTGATGAAAGACAGGAGGTTAAATTGCAAGTCGTAAATTTTAAAGAGCTTTTGAATTGTCTTCGTTATTATAAAACGCTCAAGAACCCAATAAGCTGACAGTGTATTTCATTAGAAAATGGTGGGTTGCAGGAGTTGTGTAAAACTTCGTGCGGCGGAAATCTTTCGAAGCGAGTGGCAAGCGAAACAGGGGTTGTGTTTTCAGATGTGGTTTACCTAAATCCCTGAGAGCAGATAGACGTTTTTCCACCCACCATGGCTCAAGTTCCTGCTTTTGGTACATTTTTCTCGGTCAGACAATCTTTACAGTTCAATGTTAATCCTACCAGAAAGAAAACGAAGCATGCGGCCATTCACCGCTGTCTTTATCATCACCTATATCAGTTTAAACTAAGCAAAACTTAATTTAATTTGCACAGAAGCACAAATTAAGGCATTGTAGCGTTGTTTGATCAAGATAATTAGATTCCATTATTTTACCCCTTTTTGGGTTGCTAAACCGAAAGATGAAGAACTAAAAAGAACATAACCTCAGGTTGGTTACAAATTAACCGCAAATCCGGAAATGGGAAGGGGTAGAATATACTGTATAATACTGTTAATCCTCTGGGGGGCGATTTATGTCTTTCCCGCTAATTAAATGCATTGCTAATTAGCGCCGGATATGACTTAACCCATTTTACATTGCGTTCGAAAAATCGCGCTGAAATTAACGCAGGCATAACTTGTTGTTCAGGAGGTAACTAATGGCGTAAATCGCTCACGTAATTTTTTAGGCAGCTAAAAATCAACCTAAACCCGAGGGCGTTTAGTTTTCTCAAAGAGAGGTAATGAAATAGTTTTGATCTTAAAAAATTAAAGGTTTGAGCTCTTAAAATTCCTTTCCTCTGATGGTGGTAATACATGATAATATACCCCGTGGTCGGAAAAGTTGTTGCAAATGTTTTGAGACGCTTTTTCTGCTGAAACTACTAAGTAACTATTTGGAGTTCACAAAAATCGTTCTATCGGATCTATACAAAGTCTTTATAAAAGAAGAAATGGAAGGAAATGATAGTAAGAAGCTTGTTACATGTTGTTATTACATCGCATGCATCGTGCGGCAGGAATTTCTGTTAGCCCATAAGTATAATCCCTCTGACGTCCATTTCCTTGTAGCTCTTTTGAGTTTATTCGGCTAAGTAGACTTGCTTTGATTCGCTGCTTAACATTACCCACCGTTAAATCAAGTTAGATGTGGTACGCAATCTTTTTCAAAAAATGTTAAGTAGAGAGACACCAGCTGTGTTTTACTGAGAAGTTACCGAGGTTGAAAACGACGTTAGACTACATGCATAATCTTCACTCAAGTTGTTTTTTTCCCGGTTGCCACCCTGACCTAAAAATTTTGGCACGACGTGCAGATTGTCGCAAAATATAAAGCTCGAGTTTAGCCGGATGGCCATAAGTTTTGAGAAGTTTTAGAGTTAATACGATTAAAAGAAACAAAGTAAACAAGTACAAATATATTCTTCGAATCTAACGTGCAAATGGACAATTTGGAACTTTAGAATGTCATGAGACTTGACCCAAGATATGACGCAATGAAAAATCTAGGGGACTTCAACCTCGACGCCTGTCTACTAGTACTGCTACGCTGAGTCAGCAACAACAACTGCAATGTTCTCATTCACGAGAGAAATAGAAATAAATAAAAGAAACGCCATCGAAATTAACAAACGGTATGTTTGGAAGTCACTATCATCATAGAACAAGTACCGATCTTCTGAGGTAGCCTGCGAATACAGCCTCTCTCCTCTGTCTCTCGTTACGTATACGTAATCTGCTAAGGGGACGAGGAGCGAGGCAGGGTGGCTGTATTTGCCGGCTAGTTCTGTGTCGATTTTGCATTGCAGTGAAACTGATTTGGTCTTGCCTAAGAACAGAATGAGTGGATGGAAAAAGTAGAGAAACTGAAAGAAGGTTATTATTGTGCAAGTTGACACGAATATGCTTAGCAAACCCTGGCAGTGACTGTCTCTTCGGTCAACACTTTTCTTTTCAGAAAAATTTTCAATTCTGCAAACATTTGCAGAATTGCAGGCACGCCGCTTTTAGCTAGACATATTTCATTTTCGTTTAAATTTCTATTAAATGCATGTTGTGTAACTTAGTAAGATAAGACTACTCAATGACTTTCTATTTATGTAGGTTTCGTATAAAACAGTTTTGTATGAAACCTACACAAAATTAATAAAGTAAGGCAAATGGTCTAAGAGAAAAGAGCGCGCAGCGTAAAGCCAATTACTATGGGAACCAAAAAAATTGAAAAATTATTGAATACGTGGTCCAGCCACATCGTTCACGAACTGGAAAAAGCAAAAAGGCAAACGCTCAGCTGAACGATGAAAAACAAACGATTCATGGCTCATTTATTTATTGTTCAGTTGAGTAGTGAAAATGAGAACAAAGAAATTTCGTCGTTGTTATAAGCACCTATAAATCATTATCATTAAATGACTTAACGTTACTCATTATCCATGGCTTTTGTTTTGTTCAAAAGTCGGAAAATAACATAAGATTTTAGAGAGTTTGAGCTTTGACCCCAATTAAAAGTCTGCAAATAACTTTTTCCGAACCGGTAAGCTGATTTTGTTAATCCGAGATTTTACCATAAAAATTGCACTAGTTGACAGAAAATCAGAGACGAGAAATTCTCTCTGTATTCCCATACTATTTTCAAGTTTGTTCTCTAGGCCTATATCGCTGATGCTTTTCTAAAGAAATGAATGGCGTTTTTACTCTCGCTTTTACCCAGTTATAATTTTATTGTTCAACTGGTGGGGATTTCGCTATTTTCTCCGCTATAAAAACGGCCACACCCGTTCCCACGTACACGGATGTTTCATGATTTTGCATCCCGTCAACTGACAGAGCTCTTCCAGGACAAAATCCCGCAAAAGATCCATCAATGAGCCTAGGAGAATTACAGAAACATGAACATAAATGAACATAATTCAAATAATATCAGTTTCTTTTTATGAACCCCTGATTACACACAATTATCAACACATGATGAGTAATTTCCATTTTATTGCTAACAAATTCTTGGCAATTAAAAGAGCACATTGAACAAAACCCTAGTACTATTAACTGAGGGAGAGTAACATTACCCTACCCCAGCCTATGCAAAACACTGCGCGCGATGTTTTACATTATATTATTTATTTATCTCTTTCTGAAAACATTAATTACTGAGAGACTTAAATTTACTTTTCTAGTTGACTATCAAGGTTAGTCTTTAATAGCTGGCCTCGTGGAACGTGTTTTCATGAGTAAACAACCGCAGAGAATTCTTACGTTCTAAGCCGCTGTGAACGAACCGCAATAATTAATTTGATTTTTTTAACCTAATAACTTCGTCTAAGCGGAAAGAAACGCCTTTTCTTGTTTTAAAAGGAAAATAAAAATGTCATCTATTTTTAGTGGTATTTGGAGATTTCAAAGATGACAAATCCAAAAAATAAGAGTTAAATTTTATTCCGACGCAGACAAACTGTCCCCAAATATTTTCATCATGGATCGGGTTGTTCAAAGCTGGGTTAAGATAACCCAGGGTAGGTTAGTGCGAAATTTGAATTCAGATATGCAAGTTTTGATAGCAAATCAAGTTGGATTGTTGTTATGTACAATTTGATGATTGTAGGATGCTCCGGGTAAAAAGAACATGAATAGAGAAAACTATGGGAGAAAATGATTGTGAATAAAAGAAATATAAACCCGTGTTAAAATTCAACCCCTGGTTTAGCGCAGTTACTGTAATGGACCTTCGAACAACTAGCCTGTTCCGAGATTGTCGGGACCGCATGCAAAAAGAGAAAGCGCGAACAACTCGCGCTGATATTTTCGGGTGCCTTTCACTTACGCGTCATCCCTGCTATCTGACAGCCTGGAAGTGGCTATCAATTCAAACAACTGGGATGGAGACCTAATGTTAGCCGTGTCATCTAACATCTAATGTCGAGATCATGAGTTGACTGGGTACTGAACGCCACATGTATTGCTGTGATGAGTCAAGTCAGTGGAAACTTATTCCGCTCGCCCCTGGAAAAAGGAAAACCACTTCAGGAAAGATGGGCTAAAACTTTTAAGTGTTCAGTACTTCTAAGAGTGTTCAATAAATCTGGTTCTAACATACAGTGTACCTTTTTTCCCAATTAAAAAAAATATGTATTTTTCTTTTTTCGCGTTCCGTGGTAACTTCCAA